ATTGTATTTTGTGCGAGATTTCTTTGTCAATTGGGAGGTTGGGTTATCGCCGGACAACATACATTGGGCGGATAGATTTGACTCAGAATAAGTTTGCCTACTTTCCTATCATTTTCTGTGTTATGAAATTCTCATCTTTTTTTATTTCCTTTCGTTTATATGGAGATGTACATTGCAATTGTATTATGAATTTACAGGATTAAGGTGGTTGATTTGAGTCAGACACGGCTATTTGGTGGTCTATCTCTTTGGGAGGTTTTCATCTCTATAAAAATTCAGATGTAAGTTTGTGAGCCTGACAACCATTCAGTGTAGTTGTCACTCTTTCAGGATTGGCGTTGTGAAACGGGCACCTGGGTAGTTGGGGTTCGAGGACTTTGTGGTGAACGTTCTTTAAGCGATTGCAGAGGATTTATTGGTATTTAAGTTTTTATCGAGGCTTATGTGTGATTTCTCCTGATTTAGTGGATTTTCTGACAGCGTTGGAACTTTTCGTTGGGTTTCTTGTTCCTCAGTATGATCGGGGTTTCCTTAGTTGGCATGTACTGAGAGGTTTTATTTCACACGAAGCAAGTTTTATGTTCCTTGTTGTTTTTTGTTCTTGAATTGTTTCCATTTACTTTTCCTTTCTTTTCCCTTTCTATACAGGATTTAGATGATCTATTTGAGCTGTCATGGCCATCCAGATGTCCTTGTCAACGGGGGGTTATATTCAAATTTAAGTTTACAAGCTTGTACGATCATTCGGAATCTGTATATTACAGGGTCTTAGTCTTAGTTATAATGTTTGCTTTTAGGTTTGCGGTGTGCATCCGATAGCGTGGTTGCGAGGACTGGATGGAGGTTTGAGGGTTTTGTTGTGCCCCTTTCTTTTTTACTAATTAGAGTGGATTTAACGAAATTTAATTCAATGTTAAATCTGATATCTTTCTTTTTATTTATTTTAGAAATGTAATTTTTTGTATCGGTGTTGAATCTGTTTGATGGTTTTCATATTCACCAGGAAGATTCAATGTTCGTTGGCGTTGAGATATTTAGTGGAACTAATTCCTGTCTTTTATGTTTCCAAATGTCTTTAATCTTTCCTTCTTTTTCTTCTACACACATTGCGAATGTGTTATGATTCTGCAGGAACCGGGAGGTTGATTTTAGATGGAGGTGGCTACTCATATGTATATGTCCTAAGGGCTTTTTTATGGTCATGAATATCTCACTGTATGTTTTCAAACACGAATATCATTGGCGAGAGTTATGTAAGATTTACTTGCGTTGTCATTGCTTGTTGGGTGGCAGTGTGACATTAGTAGAAAGAATGTTGAGGTTGGGCGAAGGTTTTTAGATTTTGTTACTCCACCTTCATTTTGTAAATTAAAGTGGATCTAGTGATCTTTAAATCAGTTTTAAGTTTTAGCTTTGCTCTCTCTATGAACTACGGGCTTTTATGACTGTATTGAATCTTTGTGTTGGTTTTGTTGTTCATCAGGGAAATTGGATGTTCCTTGGCTTGCATATATTTGGTGGATCCTTTTCACGAAGAATAAGTTCTCCTATTCTTAATTTTTCCCCGAAATTCTAATTTTTTGTAATATTTTTTACATGGATACATGGATTGCAAGCTTGTTTTCAATATACAACATTAAAAGGTGAATTCGATAATTAAACACATCACAAGGGGGGCGGGGTTATATTACCAATTCAAATTTAAGATTAAAAGCATGACAAGCGTGTAATATATATAGTATCCTAATCTAGCTAACATTCATTTTAGGCTGGAGGTGCGACTCCTATACTACGGCGGCCGAGAATGTGTGGAGGTTTGATGGATTTTTTACACTTCTTTCTTTTTGTTAGTTAGAGCCGATTTAGGGATCTTCAAATTAGTGTTGGGACTCTATACGGAATTCTGTCTAAATAAGGTCTTCAAATCACAGAATCCTGTTGTTGTTTTTCTGATAATTTGGGAGATTGGGTAATCGCTGGTTTGCATATCTTCGGTGGGTCGTCTTCATTCTCGATAGGTTTTCCCTTTTTCCTTTCTTTTCTTTTTTTTTTT